ACGATATGTAGAAGGATTTAAAAATAATTAATGTGTTTACACCTTAGGCTCAAATTGATTTAAAATTGATCAACCACAATTCAGAAAAATCGCTTGGTTGACATTAAATGTAAACATCCACAGTATATTTTGTTCAAGTACTCAATGTTAGATGCTGAACAGCTAGTCAAGAAATAATATCATTGGCAGTAAGTGACATCATTAAAAATCTCAGTCAAAAGCAAAATGAAATACCCCCGTTCATAGTTAATTATAACTATTGTTTAAAATAAGGCAATAATTTAAGGAAGGCTTTACAATTAATATTCAGTACAGGGGCATCTTAAATTTTGTTCTTTAATTCTTTCAGCATCGAAAAGTTCATCTCAGTAAACAACCAGCTCATGAAGTCTTCTTGTTTATAGTAACGCACTACTTTGCCTTGCTGCTTGTCAAAAGCTCACTGAAAGATCTTTGATTTAATGTAATATCAATATCTAGTTATGTGGCCTCTGGTCATTATCTATACTTTATTATGTTTATTTGCAGCTGTTACGCCTAAAGGGCCTACATCATGCTATTTATAAAGTCTAATATACTCTTTATTGAGTTATTCTATCTCCTTTCATTATTTCGCGCTGTATCTTTCTTGGGCAGTTTAAATGGGCTCTATTGTGTTCAGGTTCTAAAATCTGTCTAATAAACTCACTATTGCGTACATATCCTTCACAATTTAAAGGCTTGATGTAGGTATAGCAGTTAACATGGTAAAGCAATTTTTAAATTTAGTTAAATCCACATGTATTAAAGTTTCGTTACTAGGTATGACGCAATTTGTAGCAAGTGAATATAGAATACATCAATCTCATATAGTCTTGCTTCCCATGTATAAGTTTTGTAAAGCAAGTTTCATGAAATTCAATAGAAATATACAGTCTTTTCATAGCATTTTGGGAATATTAAACCACACTTTCTCAATGACTTCAGGGGAATTTGATGGATACAATTCATATTAGTTAAACTAGCCTAGAACAAGTGTAGCTTTCAGGCTCTCTAATGAAAAACAATTAATAGAAAAGGCATCACTTTAGTTAAAATTTACTTCTTCCTTATAACCCAAGTTCACTCGTAACAGTGTGGCAAAATGTGAACATGATATGAATATGCGCTACACTAGCTAAGTTAGATTCCATTTGGGACGTGAGAAGAACTAGACGAGATTAAAAGTGCAGTCCACTTTGGAGGAAAACTAGACCAAGTGAACTTCAATGAAAACATAAGGCTAATGCACCCTGTTGAGGAAATGTTTGACTATCAGACTTTCATAATTTTGTGACCTTCGATAAATAGAGCTTTTATAGTAAAAATATAATTAACGGCCTTAACTGTGACTCATTTGTCATTTAATTTCAATGGCAATTTTTAATTACTAAAGTATTATTTAATTTATTAATTATTTCTATGTATTATATTGACTTTTACTCATTGTGATTGTTTGCCTGACAAGCAATTGTTTGTAATTGCTTAAAGGTCTTATTTCCGTAGTTACTTCCTCAGAAGTTTCATTAAGTGAATAAATAGTATCATAAATACAATAAAATGTTGTTTTAAAATAAAGACTTCTAGTTTAGTGAGTTAAGGTGGCGGACAAGAATTAAATATTCACTTGGTTAAGAGTATCAAGCCTAAATAAAAAATACTTATACTTATGTAAATGACATTTAAATAATAAAATTTATACATTTTTATAGAGGAGTATTGAACTATTGGATGTTCTTGTATCTTATAGTAAACTATTCGAAAACCATTATTAAAAAAATTAAGAAGTAAATTAAAAAGACTAAATACTTTTATAAAGTTCAATTTTAATAATCATACGGTATAGTCAACAAATTTCATAGTTATTTGAATGTCGTATGTATATATATATACATGATTGACGGGAGAATAAAATTTGATCTTGAAATAATAATAAAAATGGGCATATATTTAATATTAAAGCTAAAAAAATATTCAATTTATATTGACGGAGATATAAAATAAAGCTTGTTCTAAAAACATTTAATAAATTTTTATTATTTATTAATTTGTAATCTATTTCTAAATTAATTGATTAAGGTAACGGATATTTCAACTATTTTGGAAGTATATTTATTATTTTAAATTTTTGTCAAATTACACGCTAAGAAAATGAGGTAAACTTTGAACAGTCTTATATAATTATTTAAACGGAATTTATCTCTGTAAAAATATGCTGGCCTAACTTATACTTTGAAAAAGTGTGTGTGACAAATAACTCAGGCTTACTGCAAGATGACAGCGGATTAATTTATGTGATCTTTTATTCAGCTCTCAGTATACTCTGAATTTGATACTCTCCTCGATTTACTCTAATTTGGCATAGGTGAGAAAACGCTAGGCTCACCTAGCGTTACATCCGGATTTTGTAATGTTCTGACAATCAGTTATAGTAATGGAATCAATAAAATTAACCTAATATATATTGTATGGCATTTAAAGTCGCACTATATTATTTAAGGAATTTTAAGTGAGGTTCTTTTATAATACTAAGAGTAAGCTCAGTGATCACTTGTATTTCAACTTGCATCACCTGGGAGAAGCTTTTCTCGTAAATGGCGATGATAAAAATTTAAATATTCTTGAAGTTTCTTAATATTTGCTGCATTCGCTTTAATATAGATATAAATATTTTGTAAAACATCTTTAAATAAATTAAAGTCGTTTTATTGAACCATTAATAAGCTCTCAAATAAATAAAAACCTTAAGATCTACTACTTGCATAACTACTTTTTAAGCCTACTCTGATATACCAATTTACCTTTAAATATATCTGAATCTAGTAGCAGTATTTATTAAAAACGCCTATAAATTACCTTAACCGACTGAGTTCTGAGTATAAAAAGCAAAAACAATTCATATATTTAATATAGACATATTTATTTATGCTGCATTTTTGCAACTGTCGATTATTTACTATCCAAATTTGAAGCCTTTAGAGAAACAATGCACCGTGATTAGCTTATTTAAGCCATTGTTTATCTTAAATTCTGAACAGGACTGTTTGACTTGAAACAATTAAGAAAAACTAGATGTTTTACGGAACCCATATTTTTATTATGTAAGAATAAAGACTAATATTCGCCTATAAAAACAGAAAAGTGCATACTGACCCAAAAAGCGTATTTTCTAGTCTCTTATAAGAAGAAAAAAATTATATCAAGCAGTATTTAAATTTTATGAATCTTGATAAATTGGATTTATAATGGTTTACTGTATAAAATAGGATAAGTGATATTTTAAGCCATGTAAACCACCTAAATTTAAAGCTAACATAATATAACGCAACCACTTGAAATATTGATTAAAAAATTTATTCTGGTCAATATATTCAGAAATTTATTTTCGTGTCTTGGTATTTAATTACAGTTTACTTTACTTTTTGAGTTACAGAAATCTTTAGCAAGCCCAAATTATTTACTTTTGTTATTAGGTATTCATTGTAAGCAGGTTTTTTCTAGCTGAATGCTTATTTGCTAACAAAAGAAAAAAGCTTATTCGAATTCCATTTTGTCACATACATAATATTAGATTATAAAGAAATAACTTTCGATTATTTGTTGGAGACAAAAATAAATGCGAAAAAAAATACAAATTAACAAAAAAGCCCTTAAAATAAAACTATAAAGAATTTTTCCTATTTAACATTGGGAAATATTTGGTTTAATCATGGATACTTCTGACATATGCTACTGGTACTCTGCTTCAGGCATTAAGTTACTATAAGGCAAAACGTTATTTATATTCCATCGTTCGTGTTTAAAATGATCTGGCTAATGTGATACATATGAGTTACTACGGCTAGAATGGAGAAAAGCTGAATGCATCTGTACGAAAAATGGTCCAGTAAGTCATGTTATTGTGTCAAACAAGACTAAATATGAATAATCGACTATCATAAACTATCATTTCAAAAATTCTTTTTTGCCGAGCATTGCTGTGGCGTATATTTCATCATAAACTTAGTATGATTAATCACAAATATGATTTAAATTAAGTGTTATAACAAAATATATATGCATGAATATTTTATATATCCTCAAGGAAACTAATTTTTTCCCGATTATTAGATTCCGATATTATTAACTAAATTAAATGAAAATTTATGCATTTTATTATTTTGATAAATAGGCAATGTCATTCTGGTAAAAATTGCGAACCATACAACATAAAACAGTGTTTGCAAAAACCAAATTTATTAAAATCGAACTAAGATTAATAACATAATCTGTATTGTATATGACTCAACATCTAAGGGGAATTAACTTTCGAATATATTTAATCTTCGACAGACCGGTATAATTATTAAGCACATAAATATCCTTTTTGTCTCTCAAATTTCTTTTTCATGAAATACAAGAAAAAATTGATATGAAGTATAAAGCTCATTTGCTTACACTTTATGCGTATATTTCTTGTGCATATATTTTTGATAATTCGTTAGTTAATTATCAAATAGTTATACGCTATTCAAAAAATAAATAAAATAAATAAATAGCTTGTCCATATTCAATTTTATTTCTCTATTTGAGTTATTTTCAAAAGTCAAACACATTAATTATACTATTCGAAAAATCCTAATTTAAGAAATTTCTATATTGGTCAGTTAGATATTAAAGTGCGTATTCTCTAGAAAATTATAGGTAAGATGGAATGTACAACAAACCAAAAATATGCCTGATTAGCAAGTGAATGTCCATTTCGATATAAAGATAAATTATCTGGAACTATATAAATAATTTGCATCTTATGACTCAAAAAAGCATGCATTGATACAGAGAGAAGTAAAGGATTGTGAGTAGCTCACATATATAAGTAGTGGGGAATAACCCAAAAATTAAGAAACGGGTGGTTGCTTTTTATTTGTCCGAGGAACTGAAAAGTTCGATAAATGTTTGATCTTTCTAAATTATATATATATATATATATAAGTATATATATATTACAAAACAAGTTGAAAGTTGAGCTTGAAAGGACGTCGTATTGGCTCATGTAGGTCATTTAATTCTCTTGGCGTGAGAGCTCGAAGTTCGATGATCAACCTGCCTGTATCGGAGTCGAATGCGTATGAGTGTGGATTAAGAGCAGTCCGCAGGCACGTATGTCTTGTGCCAGAGGCTCCATTTATAGAAGCGGCCAGGCCTGTGTGTACCATAGTGCGTATACAAGAATCGTAATCACGTTGATCCAGCTGACTAATATCATTAAGTCGAGTAGCTACTTCATAAATCCCAACTCCTGGTACTTCTGGTTCCATATAACATCTACATAAAACAGGAGTTGAAACAATTTTTTGGTGTATTAAAAAAAGAATGTTAGCATACTTTGATGAAAATGAATTCTATTCTTAATTTCAAACGAAATATTTTGGATAATTTATGATACTAAATGCAGGTTAATGAACATTAAGTAGTATTCGAAGATATGAATAGCAAGATGGTGTGGCCTTTAGTGTGGTCGCAGTCTCCTTTCCATACTGTTACCTTATGCTCGTATTGTCATTAGAACCTAGATGATTTCCAATTTTCGGGAGTATCAAGGATGAATGATAAATTTCAGAGTCAACCCGTTGATTTGGTACAAACTTAGACGTCCCGCCAGCATCGTAAGTGAGCCTTACCATTTTTAGCACCACACTAAAACACTTAAAGTAGACCATTTGACGAGTTGTAATGTGGTGCTAAGAATTGCATGGCTAACCTTGGATGCAGGCAAAACTTCTTGCATTCTACCAACTCCACGATCCGACCCTTGAAATAATAATCCGAAAAGTGTGCATTTATCTGTCTTTCTGAAATTATGATCATGTTGCGAAAACAAGGTAAAACAATTAAGTAGTATTCTTAGACTAAGGCTTGATATAAAAACTTCAAGTCAAAAATGGCCAAAATTACCAAGTTACGATGTGTCGCTAAAATTGTTTCTAAACTCTTTTTAAGCAAGAGCATAGTTTTTAGTAAATAGGCATTTTTTAAGTTTGAACTCACAAGTAAACCAATATGTATAAATATATTTTTAACAATAATAATCTAAAGTAGATTAATTAATTTATTCAGAATTTTCGGAGCTATTTTTGAATAGGAAGCATAACTTCAGCCAATATGCAAATAAATAGTTATGCACATATACATTCCACTGTTGAAGATGAATACAAATAAAATTAAAAATTAGGCGTTTGGCCAGTGTAAATTAAAAGTTTAAGAAATATTAAATATTCGAAAATTAATAAGTCTGAACTTTTCAAAGAATGCTTTATGTATCTAACTAGGTTTAATAAAAACAGATTTTCTAAAATAGTCTAAACATATTTGAGATTTTATATTGTTTTTAAAAAATGCAACCCTTTTGTTAGCTTTACTGAACAAAGTAGTATGCTTCGTATTTATTGGATTCAGGTTTATTTTCTTTTTTCGTTTATTAAAAGGTTTCTAAGACTATCAATAGATCATATATATGAGATGTATTTCATCTATTTTATATAAGGTGATGAAGGATTAGTAGTGTAGATTCCATATAATTATATGAGTTAAGCTTACATTTCCATTGAATTTTGCATAGCTTTGATTTACGAAAAGTTGTTCTCATCCAAGGTGGATTGCAGTTTCGACCTCGCCTAGCTATTATCAACAACTCCAGCAGAAGCTGAGTCATGACATTGCAGTGTGTAATCTTGATACGTTAACCACTAAGTCACTGCCAAAAGTGCTCTAGAGTCACGGAGCCGATTTTAATTTTAAGAAAAGCCATGAATCTTTACATATCACAAACTGTGTTGGGATTATGGATGAAGCTACCTAATATTTGCTACATCATTCGACTGCATTACTGATTTTTCTTTTACGGATAGGTTTTCAAGACTAGCTGTACCAGTATTTTCTAGAAATCCAAAAGAATTAATAGCAAAAATAATAATTATTTCAGAATTCTTTTCAAATATATATTTGTCCGAAATTAGGCTAGTTTATTATAATTTGTCTATAACTCCTTGATAATCAAATAAATTAAACACATTTAGCTACAAGATAATTAAATCATCCAAACTAAAATGCTAAATACTCTTTTAATTATTAGAAAGTGTAAAGAAATATAGAGGTATTTAATATAAAATAGTCTATTGTTGAAAATTAATACATCTATGAGAGATTTAATATGATTTGAAGACTGATAGGGGGAGCTTCTCTTAATGCTCTAAGTAGGCCTCATGGTGCCTTTACCTTCGATAATACAACTCAGTCACATAGCTACGGATTTGATTTTGCCACAGGATGAATTTTGACTTTAATTACAGGCTCGAAATCTTCTAAATCACATTTCTAATAGGATTATCAACCGGTAAAACATGTATATGTCATTAAAATAACGATATTACTTATAACTAACTTAATTGTTAGGGGGACCTTCATTTCGAATGAAAGTACATAAAGAAGAGATTCGTTTGTCGATCTCACCAGA